TCATATTCGCTTGCGTCCTTGCAATTCATGTTGTCCTGAACACTGCACTGACACGCGCGGTAGCCCCGTACGTGCCATTTGCGTAGGTGTCCACACAGTAGCTTTGTGTCATATACACCAAATGGAGACATTGTATGGGGCATTTGGAATGGCCTAGGAGGTATGTGTCCGTTGCGAAAGACTTGGCTGCTCGTTGGTGACTAGCGGGGCAGATGTGTGTTCCTTCTTCTGCTGTATTTGCCTTCACGTTTTGCTGACTTCGTCTCCTTGTACTTACTAGCGATGCCATTCCACGTCCCAAACCAGCTGAAGTGTTCCCGTGCGGTCGGCAGAACCTGCCCTCAATGTATCTCCTGGGTGATGCGGATTTGATTGTAGGGCAGCTCTAGTTCATCACTACCAAAAGTTTCAGCGAAATACATATTTATGGTTAGCCTTAAAGCCAGGTTACGCGTCAACTAAAGCTGCAACGCGCATGCCGGCAAAGGAATACGACTACAGGTTGTTCGTCTCGATAAAGGCGGTGCGGATGCAAAAACTGCAGTTCATTCTCGTCCTCTTGCCTTTTCATGCTAAACAGTGCCTGTTTACTATATCATATAGAAAATCCGTTCGCCGCGCATCGATAGCAAAGTATTTACGCGTAGCATGTACTTACTACCTAGTTAAACATTCACCTCTGTGCCGCTTAGCCTGAACTACCTACACACGTTGAAAACCTCTGCTCCCGCACGGAAGCGCTTTACACGTTTGCTGGGGGGCAACAGTTTGTTGGATCTTGCACTTTTCTGGGAAGACGGTGAGATCGGCGTGACTATGCATCGGGCTTGACAGAGCCGCAGTTACCGGTCGTTGTTCTCCTGCGGGCATGGTCATGATGCCGTCCTCGTAAGCTGCCTTCCCATCATTTGAAACACAGTCGGTACGTATGGCTCTGCGGGTCTCCCCGCAGCAATTTACTATTATTAGCGAAATTGACAATGGGCTTCGCACATCCTCCTGATTTTATGAATTCTGTGGATATCACAAAGTATCTCCCTCGATTCCCATCAAGGCGTGAATGCTTGTTTTCAGGTAGCTGTGGAACCTTTGGCCAAGACTTCAGGAGCTTTAGAGTATGCAGATGCTCTGCGCGGGCTGAACTTGTGGGTCCCAGTTTTGATTTTGAGCTGCTTGTTTTTGCACTACTACAAGCACTTCTGTCGCCATTGCAGGGGGGATAGATCCACCAAGCATCAACATTGTTGCCAGCCGGATTCATCAATGCCAGTTTCATCGATGGTGGCAGATTCAGAAACTGATTCGAAGCCTTCTGCAACGACAGTCTTAGATGAGGCCGCTAAGGTTGACATCTTGTCGCCGTCGGTGGTTCAGCCTGGCAATCAGTAATTTGAATCCTTTGATTTTCTTTGCAAAAATATCGAGGGAATGTCTGCATATTTAATCACTGGCCTTGTTGTAAAATCTGCCGTCAGTACATGTATGCTCCTGAGAGGGAGCACGATGTGCCTTCCGCTAGCTTGAGGAAAATTACTTTTCCTTAAGGGACTGCAGTTGTTAATTTGATTTCGCCCCGCGTGCAACACACACGCGTATGAAGCGGAGGAGCAAACTTTAACTCTCTCTGCATTTTTATTCTGCTTTTTTTGATAGCTTCAACAGAAACAAATTATCCATGCACAGGTCACAATATCGCCGAGTGGTTGCTACGAAGCAGAAAAATCGAGGTACAACGCATAAAATTGTTATATCATACAAAGTCGCTATAATCCTTTGGGGAAGCAGGTCTGTAGAAGATGCATACGTCTGGTGCATCTACACACGGAGCACAATGAAAGGCTCCAGGAACTCTTTGTTTCCATGGCATTCAACAGCCAACCCAGTCTCGCCTATGCAACACTTGGAAACGAAATTACTTGAAGGAACAAAATTCGCCTAAGGGAGGGATCCTGACGTCCTTCGCTCATTTAGCACGACGATCCAAACAAACAGTATAACTTGGGTCCCAGGTATTGGCATTTGACGCTTCTGAGCCTTTGAGACGAGGCAGCGTTTCACATGTGCTCCAAACAGGACACTACTCTTCCTTCGCATACCTCTAGTTTTGACCCGGGGTCATGGCAATGAAATTACGGAGGAGGCGGCTGCACTGCCCCCCCTCTTCCGCCTTCAGGCCCCGGAATAAACCGACCATAGTACGTATATGTGAGCATAGATGACTGTTGATTGGCTAGGAAAATCACACCAACGCTAGGTGATTATCGGGAAGAGACTTGAAGATGAATGCCGGTGGTGTGTAGTGTTTCGGAAAAGCAGCTACCTTTCCCGGAAAATATCCTACCTCCTTCCCTCTCTATCCCCGTGACGCAGGGTTCCTTGCATAGCGAAAAAAGGGCACGCCCGTCATAAAATGAACAGCTCTCTGCCAGAAAAGCGTTACTACAAGCATGCACCCCCGGGAGTTCCCTGTTGATGTATGAGAACCGTCGCAATTGTAAAGGGTTTCGGATGCTTCCTCTCGCCTATATGAACAGCTGCACACGCGCATACACCCATTCCAAGGGGGGCCTGGCTAATCTGCCTTCGGCTCCTCTCACGGGTTTCCCAAATGCCAGGCTGCCATTCAGGATGCTGAACCTGATGAGAAAAGGGATGCCAAAATGGTTAGACGGAAGACAAAGCTGGGCGATGGCGCCCCCGTTTAGCTGTTACCCGGTCTAACCATATTGGCAACAGCATGCTCATTGAAAATGCTCATCAGCATGGTCAGGTCAGTGGAGGTGACCTCTGCAATTCGCCTGGGGGGCGCTTTCACTTAGTGCTAGTCTCCAACATTACACGCAGATTATTGAAGAGGCTTTAGAAAGGTATAGTACTAGTGCGATGTATACATGCATCCTCCCTTTTGCGCTGCACGGGTCAGGCCTGCTTCAAATGGGGGCGAAGCCAAAAGCACTTGCAAAATAATATATGGATGCTGCAAGCAACTGCCCAGACTCAGGAAATATGTTTACCATAGCAGAACAATTGTTAGGAAGTAGCCAACGCGTAGGTACCGGCAAATGGATTACATAACCGTCACAAGGCAGCATTGGTTGTTAGCTGCAGAGGTAAACTTGCTGGTCGGCACCTGCATTCATGAGTCCCGAAGTCACTTATATCTAGTTCACTTTCCTGGTGAGTTCGTGGACGGCAGCATAAATGCCTGCACAATGGTGTACGTGGATATGCAAGTAAACTTCGTCGCAAAAATATGATAAATAGACCATTGAATCCCCTACTGAATCTAGCAGTTTACCTATCATCGGCACTTTTCCGTCGTCTGTACAAAACTCCGTCCGAACGAGCTAGCTGACGGTTAAACTGTGCAGCTTCCTAGTGTTCCGTCCGATTTCTGCATCAATACCCTCCAGAAGAGGGTGCCATCTACATCCAGCAACTAGCTACATCAGTTGGCGCTAGGCTGAGAGATATTTCGATTCGGTGCACTGTTTTTCCGACGGGTGGACGCCACACTAATGCATGTTTAATTCGGATGGAAGGTCCCCCCCCTTAGCAGTAACCTGTTCTGCTGTCTTATTTATTGATTGGATTATATCCGCCAAAGCCGCTCTTCGTGATACCACCACGAGGTTGTGCATGCATATTGCTTGCATTCCCAGCATAATGCGAGAACCTCGCTCGAGTGTCTTCTCTCGTTTTCTTTGGAATGCCGTCACCACAGTCTACTGTGAAAAATCCATGAGCAGTTGGAATCGTTGATAATGGCACTCAGTCTTTGGTTCCAGTCGCACAAGTCTGTTTTCTTGTGAGGAGTCCATCCAAGGTCTCGTTCTTCACCCAGTGCACGCTAATCTCTTTGTGGTGATGCCGAGGTGAAGTTGTCCCAAATGAAAGTCCCGTATCATGGAAATATGAACCATTCCTAGAATACAGCTGCTCTTTGTGCCTATACTTTCCTTGGCCAGCATCGCCCGCCTGCTATTGGACAAACGTAGTAGCAGGAGCTTCTCCAAGGCGCACCAGATAGGATGCACCCTTCCTTCCTTTAGTTGTCTCTCTCCCGCTCACGTAGTTGTCTACCGCCTGTCTTCATGGGACACTCCTGCTATGTACCACGGAAATATACCCAAAGCTTTAGATATCAGGCTGAATTCCTAGCATGTTTTGAGCAGCAATAAAAACGTAAGATTCATATAAAGCCATATAAGCATACATGAGACTCTAGACGGACCTTGCTATGGAGGCGTGCCGCAGGCACAGCAGTTCAATGGCCAGAGAATTTGGAGAAGAGGCGGCCAATATTCAAGATTCCGTGCACCAATACTCGGTGCAAGTCCAGCCCTCATGCAAACGCACAGATCCCCTGCTGATGTAAGCGCTAATACAGTACCTAACTGTTGAACACCCCATTGACTTCTGTAAGCATAATGCAAGCCAATTAGGAACACATGTACCCACTGCAGACGGACCACGCTTCACTCCACGGGCAGTTGTGATGCCGCGAATTCAAGATGGGCCCAAGATGGAGCAATAATCACCATATAATGGACTAATTATTTACGTCGTTAATGAGTTTGGATACAAAAATACAAAATAGAGGGGCCTGCTTAACTCCATGCTGTCGTAAAACCAGACGCGGCAGTGTTTGTGCCGATTTGCAAGGTCCACCAAACTGCTTCGAGCTAGTACAACTCTCTCGTGAAGAGCACCCTAGTATCCTGAAAGCTTAAATGCTTTGTACTTTTGTCAGAGTATTTACCAAACTTAGTTGTCTAAATGCATCGTTCACCTTAAATAAATCTATCTGTGTGCATGCATAACAACAGTGTAGGCAATGGGTTCACTGCGCTGCATGCAGACAGCGCAGCTGCAGCATTGTTGGCGTCAGTCCAATGGGTCTCCATATATTACATATTTACTAGGGGGGCCGTTTGAGCGTCTTTTCGGCTCATTTTCGCCTTTTATATTAGATGCGCTTTCCTTGAGAGTTCGCAGCAATGGTTAAATGCAGGGGCTTCAAGCCCCAAGGTCTTCAATTGAATCCAATCAAACGAGTGGCCAGTGGCGGGTGAGAATTTACGAAAATAGATTTCAGATCACCACTATGAATCGTTGGCCAGATTCTCAATAATTGTAGGGCTTACCTGACTTGCCACCACTTCTAGACCAGGGGCACACCTTCACACGAGGAAAACTATGGAGATTCCTGTAAAAGCAGTACAAAGGGTGTTTTATGCCCCAGGACGGCACATGAAGGCAAACGCTGTCTGCAAATCTTCAGATGTGAACATCTGCTTCATAGTGTCAGCCGCGTCCGGTAACTACGCAGGTTGCTGTCCTGAACGGTTTCCATGGACCTGTGGCTGCTACTGTTTAGGCCCTCCCTTGCGGAGAAGCTCGGAAGGAATTCGCGGCCAACATGGGATCAGTTGCATAAGATGCTTAAGAAGAAGGAGGCGTCAAATAGCGAATTCCTTGAAAAGTATGAAAACGAATGCTTCAGTAGAGAACTGCAGGTACGGGTCAAGGTGCCAAACCAGTTGGCGTGCAAGCAAAGCATCTACCATAGCTTTTCCGGGATGTTGCGCATTGTAGGGGATATTCGGTATCAAACATTTCCAGTCCATGGAATAAATTTGCTGCCCGCATCTAGAGAATGCTTGCTGTTCAGAACTTCAGAAATTCAAGGATCGAGGAGCAAGAGCGGCAGCATTTGGAGGCGGTCAAGAAGGAGGCAAAGAAGCGACAGCGCCGTGATAGCTCCAGCAGTGACAGCAGTTCAAGCGGCGACGAGAAGTCTCGCAAGAAGAAGCGAAAGAGGGAGAAGGACAAGAAACGGAAGCAAAAGAAACAGAAGAAGGTAAGATGCAGGTTAAGCCGATTCTAACGTTTTCCGTAGTTAAAGGCGCACATCAATGTATGTAATGTAGCCTACGTTGTATATATTGCTTGTTTGTGGGCTGTTGCAGGCGAAGACGTCGGGCAATACCGATGAAAAAGCCACTGAAAGCGTCACGCATAACCCCTTCCGGCTTTCAACCTTCTTTGAAATGGAAAAGGAATGACGCGATGGCGTATCCAGAAATCGCCAGCCCATGCGATTTTGCACTTTGGTGGAAGGAACACTCATCGAAGTAAATAGGGGATATCTGCTTTGTCCCATGGCTGGATTTCGAGATGCCGCTGGACCAAATATTAACTCTTGGGTGCCGCAGCTGTGGAGGATATGTAGCAAATTCGTATTCAGAAGCCTAGCTGTGGTGTCCTCGAATGCCGTCAAACGTTGCCTTACAGGCAGTACGAGGGACATGTACTTTCACAACAGTACTGTCTAGTGACGCCCACCATATGTCACCGGAAGGCGCCTAGGGGATAGCGTGGAGGCGGGCAACCTGAATTCGTGTGTAGTTTAAATTGTACTTTGTGGATGGAAAAAATTGGAGTGCCATTTGGTCGTTACAATTGCAGAATTCGTCTGAGGGTGGGAGGAAACATTAGTCTCCGATTACCCGAAACGGCAGGCGGGCTGTTCTCTAACGATTAGCTAGGCCACATTCAACCCTAAACAGCGCGCATTCGCCCTGGAGGGCGTCACGCGTCCGTTGCACTGGGGAGAAACGCCACGAATGTGGTGGTCCGTCGCGGGCCCTGCATTTGTTCCTTGTCTCAGATGCAATGGAAAGGAGCACACTGCATAGTTCTGGACAGCTACCTGTGGATCCCTGAAGTTTGAAGAGAAAGAAGCTTGCAGGTGTGGACTCATTTGATTGTATAGCGTCTGCTGCAGCGGGTGGGCACGCTGTTGCAGCAGGTGCTGCCTCTGGTTGCGCTGCCGGTTCAGATGCTCCGTTAGTTGTTGATTCCTTGGGAGAACTTGCGCCCCTTGACGCATATGAAGATGTTGGTGCTGAACCTCCGCTGTGGTTGTCAGATTCCCGCGATTGCTTACTTCCGGCTGCACATCCGCGTGCGTCTGCTCCACTGATTGTTGCCCCATACATTGATAGCCCGTGGGAGAGGGTTCACGCCGCTCATTTGACCAGGGGCCCCTTTGCTGCTGCGGCGGCTGATTCTTTTGCACATCGGGTTCCGGAAGCTGGCTCATTGGTGGACTCATTTGTGCTTCGTGGGACGTATGTATTGGGTGGTGGTACTGCGGAGTCGAGGGACGCTGTTGGCGTAACACTTGCAAACACTGCTGCTGCTCCGTAAGGCTTGGGACCTGGCCTCTAACGTTTTCAGCATGCCTCGGCGAGTCTTGTGATAACTTCTGCAGAGGCGCAAATGTTGCAGCTTCCGAAGGAGGCTGGCGTCGCGCTTGTGCCGTCCGTCCCAGTGGCTCTTTCCCGTCAATTCCTCTAAGCGTTTCCCTCATCCCCTGCAGCTTTTTCAACGCCCAAGTGCCGAGTGGTGGGCTGGGCTCTGAATGAGTTAACCCAGCGGACGTTTCGCCGTGCGCCGTGGCCTGATTGAGTATCCCAACTAGTTGCTGGTCCACGAGTAACAACTGATGCTCAAGATCCCTCGTCCTTTCTTGATTGGCAGCCAGCTCGTTTTGTAGTCGCATTTTCTCCTCTTCAGCGCATGCCGTGGCTTTAGCATGCTCTGCAGCAAGCAACTGTAGCTGACGACGCTCCTGGGAAATAACGTCCAGCTCTTGCTGCACCCGTTGCCTGTCTTTGTCTCCCCCTTTAGATGCGGGAGGATCAGCATCTTTGGGCCCTTTTTGTTTCAGCTCTTCCTGCAACGCTATTATTTGCCGACGGAGAGCACTCATCTCCTGCGTGTGCTTCTGTTGCTCTTCAGAGGAACGCTTCTCAAGGTGTTTGCACCAATCATCCCTTGCCTGTACTTGCTTCTGCAGCCCTTCGACAAGTTGTATTAACTCTTGAACTTGCTGTTCACTTTCACGGCCTCGATTGCCACCCCCTTGCTGGCTGACGTCCTCCTATAAAGAGCATATTACAGCAGGCAGCCAGGGGCACATACGTCTTCAGCGCATGCCGTGGTTTTGGCACGCGCTGCAGCAACTGTAGCTGACGCCAGTCGTAAACTCATAATGTCGGTTTAGGTTTACTAAGACCTAGAACGGGCTTATGAGTCTCTGATTGGCACATATGGGTTTTTTGAACAGCATATGTTGGGTTTTTGACTTCAGCCGAAGAAGTAACGAACTTTAGAAGATTGTGTTATTGTGTTTCTCTTTCGCTGGTAGTGTGCATGGAGAGGGTGAAGTTACACACGAAATCAGCTAGCTAACCCTCAAAGCGAATGCCAGGAAATTCGTCGTTTGCCTCAGTTGTATTCGGCTAATACTATTGAAGGCCCAAGAGATGGACTTTTGTGACCGGTGCGCATGCGCATAGCAAGGTGCATTTCACAGGCTGCTAAGTGCTGGAAATACCACAAGTAACTTGTATCTTAGTGCCAGATTCCTGGTTTTGCAGAGCTCACCATGTGAGTTGACTCCCGTTTTCTGTTGTGTCCACTCCTGCACTGGCGTTCTCCTGCATGAGCTCTAAGCGACAACCATCCAAGCAAAAGGAGCCGGTGTTGCTGCGCTGCTCTTTGATAGGCGTTTTCCGATACTCTAGCAAGGCGAAGCGCTTGTATGATGCGACGCTTCCTCTCCAGCTGGGCTCTTTGTGCCCAAACAAGCAAAACCAGCCTGAATAATTAACAAAGTGATGGGGTGTGCCAGTTTACCTTGGAACGCTGGGGCACACGCAAACGGCAGTTCTGAGCTAACCGAGGGGAGGCTATTCGGCGGTCTACTCACTTCTTTGTCAGAATGCCTTTTTGGCGGACATTTTGGGCGTTTAGCCACTTAACAACCTTTGCTGTAGAAGAAAGGTCACGCATAAAACATGGAGGTGGTCCTTGCTGAGTGGCTCCGTCTGGAGAGAATCCTTTAAGTCTAGTTGACTCCGACGAACGGTTTCCAGGACTCTTCAATTTCAGTTCCCCTCGATCTTGTGTTAGAACTTCCTGAGTGCTTCCTCTTCGTCCAGTACCCAGTGCGTCTGCACCTTCGCTAACGCTATTTTGGATTTTCAATGAATTAGTGGGAGTTGCCTGAAGAGTCGATGTGAGTGCTTGCGGTCCTGCCAGCCCGTCATGCACGGACTCCTGTGTAGAAGTTTGTTTGTGTTCCCCTTGCTGTAACTGGCGGTGCCGCCTCTGGCTGAGAAGTAGCTGCGCACGGGTCATTAAGCAGTCGAGCCTCCGGATACTCGTGGTTAAGGTGCTCTTGCGGTCATCTGACTGCGAAGTGAGGCGAACCGAGCACTCCGATGGAACCAGCCCTTCCACCGGCATGCAGGAGGCTACAGAGTGGGCAGACTGCGCACTCCGGTTGGCAAGAGTAGCTGCAAGGCGATGGGTCTCGTCTCCACGAACCGAAACACTGTCATCAGGAGACAATTCTGGCTCACCACCTAACTCTGTTGCTCGACCTGCTTTTGTTTTGCAGGTAGCAGGCGTCCGGCGCTCGTGAAGAATTCGGGTGCGTTCATGACCCAGGCTATGTGGGTGCACAATTAAGCTGTCGTTGCTCCCCTTTTCCATAAGTGTTCTGCTCGATGCTACCACGCCACATACACTCGAAGGCCTTTGGCTGCTTCTCAGACCTAATCCCGAAACAAGTCGTTGGGATTGCTGCGCTTTCTTAGAAGTAGAACTGCGCGAACTCCGATCCCTTTCTCCCCGTGCAGCAGCTGCGATCGCCGATGCAGCTAAAACTGCAGCTACTGAGAGTTCTTGCTGCCGTCGTTGGTGACGCTGCCGCTGTTGGTCCGTTGCCACATTGTTTGAGGCAACGCTGCCACTTGGTCCAGCTGTGCTTGGTTGCCTGCTCCGTGGGGACAGTAGCTGCTCAGTGTCTTCCCTTTGAGACCAGTGTGCAGGGGCAGTTGCGCTCTCATGGCCAGCCGATGCACCGCGGCAGCGAATCCCCTCAGCGTATGCGCCGGCCTGTAGTCTCGAAGTGGAACTGGAAGCGCGCGCTGCCTGCGTAACCTCTGCTGTCCCAACATCATGTTGAATTTGTAGCCCATTGTGCCCCTGGTATGTTAGCCTGCTTGTTTCATCATCGTGGAGCTCACAGGGGCTTACGGATCGTTGTAGGGTTGTTGAAGCTACAGAAGGTTGGGATGGAGCAGTTAAGGCCGCTTGAAGCATTGCATCAGACGTCCATAAGAAGGGCCCGCTGTTGCCGCTTAGACGAAACAGCATTACGTTACACCGATTGGCACCGGTAGCACTGGCACTGAGTGAGTCAAGGAAGAGCTTCTCTAACTTCTCCAAGGAGGTCACAGGACTGAGCAATGCGGCAAGCCCTTGCTCCCCTTCCGCTTCGATTTGGATGGCTGGACCAGCGTGATTCCTGGGTTTAGGAGAGAGATGCGTAACTGGAAGCCTGAGCTTGATTTCCTGTTGCTTCTCTGCGATATTTACGCAATGGAGAGGGATGTGGAGAACACCAAGCAAATCCTCGGGGCGTGGCAGCGGTATTGAACCATTTTTCCTGTGATTTCCGCCCTCAGAGATTAGAGGAGTAGAGCTAATTGATGTTATACGACTGCGGAAAACTCCCACTGTCAAGACCTGCATGGCACAAACGGCAGCTCCAATAGTTCGATTGAAGGGGAGCTGCATTTTGTGGTGCTAAGTTTTGCTGACAATACCAGAAAATAAACCCTGCATACCCGACACTTACAAAAATAGATTGAAGTTCATCTCCGCATGGGCTCCCCTTTTCAGCATATTCACCTAGTGTATTTGCGTGCCGTTCAAGAACAGGGACACCGTCAATCACTAGTGGCCCTTGCCCCCAAGTGCTTGACACAAGCTTTGGCGGCGGCAAAGGAAGGTAGCCGGACTCTGGTGACCGACTGCTAGACTGTGCAGAAGAGGCAGATGAATGCACGACACACTGAGTAAAGCTGTACTTGTAAACTGCACAATAGAGATTGGGCGTCCCGCAAGAGGCATTAGCGCCGCGCCACCGTGCCGGACCTGTTATCACACCCCTCATCATGCGTGCTCTCATAGTCTTCGTCTGATCAAGCTGAAGCGCTCCTGCTGGCAACTGCGATCGCACTCTCTCGAAGCAGACCGTGTCGCACTGCGCAGTATGATGAAGGATTCGATCCTCCGATTGACCGCAATATTCCTGGTTCGGAGGAGAGGACCTGGACACATTGTGCGGTGTTGATGGGCGCAGGGGCGTGGCTGCTCGTTCACCTGCTGAAGAGCGGAATGTGGCCTCTGACATTGCCCGCTCAGTTCCCGAGTTCGTAGGGAGGCGCCGAAACATGGAGCAGTTCTCCACTGGAGTGAAGGCTACACCTTCAAGGCAAGGCTCACTCTGCATAAGTCACCTCCCATTAATTAATTGTGGGTGCTGTCCTCTCCGTAGTGGTCTTTGTTGTTTGGCCACCGTGTACATGCTGCAAGCCACCGCACCCCTGACCAGTGGGCCAACGGGTCCACAGAGCTCTAAACTATGGCTACACCCTGCTCGGCACTGTTCTACTCCTCATCAAACAAATCTGGCTTTCATAGAAGTGAATTCTCCTCATAGGAAATCGAGGGTGTTAGAATTTCCACATCTCCGTCAGCGAGCAGAGGCGAAGGTCCTCGAGCGCAAACGGAGTAAGCTGGGCCCCGCTCCTCGTTGCATGGCTGGAAACGGATACCAAATGCCTATTCATATAGTAAATGGGAAAGAAGAACAGCAAGAAGCGAATGCCGAGGCCTTTTAAGCTCTGCCGGGTGCAATGCGCGCAGCTGTCGGGCGGCCTCATGACCGTTTGGCCCCTTCAGACAAATTACAGGAGAAGATGAGCCTGAGCGTTCTACGTTAGAACTATCAGTAAAAGTAATGATATAAACCAATGTCAATGTTTGTTTCGTATTTCCGGGGAGTCCGTAGGCTTGGGGATAGCGCCTCACGTCGTTTGTTCCTTGGCCGACACCAAAACGATCCCACATCTTCAGCCATGCGCATTCCCTTGGCATTGTTCAAAACCCACTCTGCTCTCATTTCATCCTCCACTACTTTATACGACCCATCCATGAGGTTTTTCATCTGCACTCCGTTATGTGCTTCACCTTCATGCAGCAACGGTACCATTTAGCGCTAGACAAGCGGGAGAAGGGTCATAGGGTGTTGCTGGAGCTTCTGCATTGGAAAACCCCTAGAGTAAGCTTTTTGGTCAAAAACGTGGCTTCAGCCATTGGACTGTAAGCCCTCTCCTTCAACTCGCTACCACTTCTATCCAATATAGCAGGTAGACGTTTGGACAATGATGAGCCCGGCTTGTCATTGACTATACATTCATTCGCTAGGAACTCTGTGCCTTAAAAGTGTCTGGCTGACTGAACTGATGTGCTACAGATGCCCCAAAGCTTCTCCTGCACTGCAACACCCAGCGCACATCGTGCACTAAAGGGAACTCAGAGGGCGCGTTTCCTCAGATATTTAAGGTGGTACCTTCCCCCACGTGGCACTAGTAAGAATAGCGAAATCAAACTGCTAGCTCTTCATTTTCAAATTAATTATATTCCCATTACATCCTTTCCATTACAATGAAACGCCTAATTCGCAATTGCAAGGTACGTCTACGACCCAGCACGTCATGGAGATTCACTCTTTAGGCCCACTACTCTGGCTCTGGGGAACGTTACATTGTTAAGGAAATGAAATTTCTGTCCCGAACTATGTACATCTAGATGGACTGTTCTGTATGTGCTGGCCAGTGAAGGCCGCGTCTTGCACTCTACTGTTCTTCGTAGAACTATGTAGTCAGAAGCACTTGGCAGTACTGAAATCAGACCCTGCATCCTCCCTTCAATAATATGTACAGGACTACTGGCAGTAAATCCATCTTCAAGCCGAGGATGCTTATCCTCCCCTGGAAGTGTAGGAAATATTGCCTTCTACATCGTAACATAGATAAAGAATGAATATCTTCAAATGCAAGAACCCCTTGAGTGTAACGAATGCCAAATGGAGCTAGCTTGATGCGCTCGCAATACCCGCGGGGTTCCTTGTGCAAACTACAACTGTGGGCCACACTTGTCAAATTTGCTGTCCACCTTAAGGCGCCAGTTCCGGGAACACAAAAATATTGCAAATACGTACGTATTCGCTTCGGACAACAAAAGCGGCCAAAACAGCACAAACAAACAACTTCAAATGCTTCCCTCGGTTCAAACCATTCACACGCTGATGGAGAATGATGTTCTTCGAAGGGAACGCAGATGAGCATCCAGTGAAGGAGACAGAAAATGGACTGCCTCCTACACAGGGAATTAACACTAAACTACGCTAACATATGTTAATTGAAAAAAGATGCAGCACTTCAGGCAAACGCATCCAGCCCTACTCTTGCAAATATTGGGAAGGTTTAGGTCGCGCTCTGCACGGCGGACCGGAGAGGCTGGGCAGCTCTGCGAAATACAGCAAGAGCACCATCCAGTGGTTTTAAAAATCATTTGGCATTTTCTGACAATACAAGCTCCTCCAGAGCTTGCCGAACCAAGTAAAGTAACACTTCCGTCGGCAAAGACGACGCATTGTTGGAGCCCGAATACGATGCCTGCTGGTTTTTCGGGAGGTTAAAGGACGCATCGGGTGATACCCTGCTCGCTAAAAGTCTAGCTGCAGCCACCACTGCAAAGTCCCCTGGTCCAGTCGTAGTTGAGCTCGGGGCAAATGCACTTTGGGAGGATTGATGCGGTAACGAAGTGGTACGACCACCGTCCGAAGATTCGTCGCCGTTGTCGACAGAGAAAAGGGTCAAAGCGCTCTCACCACTCTGTGAATGGACATCCGTAGAACCGCTGGGAACGGGTATATGAGAGTATACTGAAGTTGCTTCGTTTTCATCCGAATCGTCGTCTTCACCGCTTGCATCACCTGAAGCGACGTTACTGTCAGGCAAAAAGAATCTGGTTTTTTTCGGCGTTTGAAAAACCATATTAACCGATGGCACCTTATGTTGCCGCTTGGACAGGCTGTTCCTCGCAGACCTGCGACTCCGCTGCTGCCCACGTCTTCTTAAACCAGACTGCGCTGTCTGCTTCTCCGTGGTAGAAGCTGTGCCAACCCTGGAGTGTCTTGAAACTTTGATTCGTTTTCGGTGCCCCTTCGGCTGCATTTCAACTACCTCGCTGCCGCGATGGTGACCGCCATGCATACCAGAGACCCGCTGTCGGTTTTGCAAATTGCTAATGCGCTTACGGTCAGTACGCGACTGGCCATTCCTATGTCCTCCAGAGTTGTTGCTGCTGCTGCTGTCACTTTCCGAGTGACCTCTTGCCAATCCCATCCGACTGTCGGCGTTATTGCTGGGAACGTCATCTGTTGAAGCATCTGTTGTAGGCGTTGAATATCCTGACCCCCGGTCTAATGTGTGGTCAGAGTCAGGCTCGGAAGGGGAGCCGTCATACACTGAATGAGGCGAATACTGGCCCAACTGCGGAGCAGTGCCCTCTCTTGCCTCTTTCGCGTCATCAAGCCGCCATGTTTCAAACTTGGAGACAGACCTTGACACTACTCGATGAAGCGGACCATGTGAAGATTCCGCAGCTGGTAACGTAAAAACCGGATGAGGGTTCTCCGAAAACTTCACAGGTCCGAAAGAACCCTCGGATTCGTTTGGCCGTCTGGAACTGCCGCTGAAAAGCAAACCGTCTCCGTTAAAGCCATCACTACCGAATCCATGATACGTTTTCCGTTCAAATTCGGTATGGAACGAAGTCTGCGAAGAACTAGGCACCTCAGATGCTCGTGAAGCTTGAATTCCCAATCGACCGGGCATTCGTGGGATAAAATCATCGTCCCAGGAAAGCTGCAGAGAGGTACCATCAGTCTTTGCCCACTTACAGCCTACACGAAGCAGCTTCGACCTCAAAGGATCCAATGCGGAATTTAGCGCAATGAGTATAGCTAGGGCTGTCAACCCTAACCAGTAGGTGTCAGACTTAGCTAACGTGTGGAGCCGGTTGAACTTTTTGGCAACGGGTGACTCGAACTTCTGATGTGCACTGTCTGTGCCAAAATTGTGGCGAAGCCTGCCCTCAGATAAAGGAAAACGCTCGGCGGGAGTAAACTTAGGACGTGCAGTTGCGGTAGAGGAAAGTGACGGGGTCGTCGATACCGTCGCTGTGTTCCATACGAAATGAGAGCTATCCGTTTCACCCGGTGAAGCGCCATCGTTCTCAATGGAGATGCTCCCTGGGATATATACACGGCTCTGAAAGTCATTGCTAACCCTCGATAATGGCTGGAGCTCCCCAAATGAAAAGCTTACAGCTTCGAGTTCGTTAGAAGAAGATGGCATCCTCAAGCTTAATGATGACTGCGTTGCATCCCGCTATAGGGGAGAGCCGCTGAGACAAAATTCATGAATTCATCGTGGATTGTGTACCGCACACATGTCCCTTGGACTTCCTGGCGACTGTATTATTGAGGGACGGCTGAAATGCTGCAATCACATGGTAGCGCGCCTGAGAGGAGAAAACTTCCTAAAAAACGCTCGCTTAGATCCCGCCCGGTGATGTGAGAAAATTCGCCCCCAAAGGTATGATGAAGTGCAGAAATGATCCATTCTTTGGGGAAACCTCCATGGTGGTCAAAACCCCAACCATGGAGCATTCGTGAGCACCACAGTTTACACAGAAAAGTGCTTGATGCACCAAGGTCGTGTAAGGGCTGCAACTACAAGAAACCAATCTGTATAACTAAGCTGATCCAAGCCCCAAATTAATTGCTGGTGGGAGGACGTCAGCCAGTGTGTTCTGAAGCCAAATTCAGACTCGGTAGGACCAGAGCAGGCTCCAATGCAAAAATTTCCTACAATCATGTGGTCAGAGCATCACTTCATCATTTTCCGTGTTCAGGACTTATAGCACTGTTTCGTTGGGTACTTGCTCACGGCTGCACCGGTGGACGGAAACTCTGTCTCACTGCATGTGAGTGACGCCTGCGCGAAGCATGGAGCAGGTTTACGAAACTTCATTTCATTTATGATGCCTCTATTTCGAAAAGACAAAACTCCACGGATATCTTCCTTGTAATTTCCGATGGTTCTAACCCTTGGTAACAATATCGTCGGATGCTGTAGATTGCCGTTGGGAGTTGTTGCCTGGCAGTTGCCTACCCAGTTCCCTTTAAAAGTATCAGTGGTTATGGGATCAGCTGAGGTTTCGAGCGGTTAGTTTGTACTAAAAAGCTGGAGGGCGAACGCCCCACCATGTGTAGCATACTCTGTCTGGTTGCCCGACGTCGCCAACTATGCCAGCAGTTGGTAGATAAACCCTTGAGAAGCCTCAGTTGGCAGCCTGTAGACAAGCAGCAGACTTCAACGCTTGCCTGTTATTGTTAGTGCACACAACCGAGAAGGCGTAACCATGCGTACGTGTGGGGCTGTTTCGTGGCATCAGTAGCAGGAAGGTGCGCTACAAACAGAGGGCCGATAAGCCTCCCACAGCTCCAGGAACTTGGGCGGTGATGCCTATGATGCCTAGAGGTTGGTGAGGGTGGCTGCCTGGTATAGAGAACTCCTATCTTCTGTAGATGACTACAGCTTCCGAGAGTCCTCGTAAGGTCGAGCGGGCATGCTGCACTGTGCCAGTTGCAATCTGTACCATGGGTCTTTTATCTTCTCGGAGGAATATGGTGAGCAGCAATGAAACCACACACCTTAGGATGTGAATTACTTTGAAGCAGTTTACTTCCCTCCCAAGTTTTGAGGCGTCCTGAATTCAGCGGCTCGAGCGCCTGGAACTGTGGTGGCCAGCTGGGAGTTGAGTTGCAACTTTTGCAACCCAGGATGCAAGACAGTTTCACATGCATGCACGAACAAGCCTTCTTCTCTGTACTAGTTGGCACTGTACACCACTGGTGAAAACAGTTGCTTCTGGGGCAAGCCAAGGATGCATATCCCAGTGTCGGACAGGCTTGCCACTGTCGCTACAGAAGCAGTGCACCTCTCATCCAGAGCAAGGCAACCTACTGTATAAGAGAGAGTAGTATTGAAGGTGCTTGGAATTTAAACACATGCACAATACTCTCGCGACGGATCAATGGTGGGAATCCAATTTAGTTTAAGAAATGTCATCTTTTACATCTCCTCTAGCGAAAAATGATAGTACGGCAAAGTTGTTTTCTTTCCTGACTATCTAGATTACGTGATCGTCTCGATATGGGTCAGTGTTTAATGTGGAGGTGTGTTTCTACCTACAGCACTAAAAATGCTACGTTTAATATTGAAGTATCCGCCATTAGAAGGTTAGTGGCGACGATGCAACTGTATCTGACCGCATATCCGGGCTGGGGAACCGCACCGAAGCGCTCAGCGATGCATAATTGTTCTCAAGTTGGCGACAGAAGGGGCTATGGCAGATTTGAAGAAAGTTAAACAAGGGCGGTACTAGTGTAGAGATACAATCTATCAGTCATAGGTGAGACAAAGTAGCCTCGGGGGTTCGGAATTTCTGTTAGTGGTTCTTAGTAGGGTTTCGTCTCAAGAAAAGGCAATTGGTTGCCGACAGGTCAAAGCCACCTTTTGGTGCAGGAGATGAAAAGGAAGGGAACGGGTTTGAAAACGCTTCAGAAATTGCTATTTCTTTGAATTCCACCACCCACGAAAGGTGAGAAAGCGGAAACTAACAGCACCCTGGAAGCTCAGCAACGAAACGCTGTAAAGGCCGATGTATTCGCTCGCGCATGACTTTGGGCAGCTATGTCAGGAGAGCTAACAAAGTGATAAGGGAAACGCTGTGGCCCTGATGCAACATGCAATGCAGTGATGGGTCCGAAAGTGGTGACAGCCGCAGGTGCGCCACAAGTTAATTTTGTGCATATCGATCAGTCGTTAAGAACTTTGTAGCGCTCCTCGGCATAGGGTGGTATCTGAGCATACAATGAAGATATACAAAGAGACCGTTCGCTGGCACAATCTGTGAGACAGCGACTAACGCATGTGACGCAGGATACGGGCACGAGAAAACCTATGGCGGCAACTGCACATGCTTCGTCCATACATAATGAGGGACTATTACGTTGGAACTATTCATCCCGACGCAATCCTAAGCGTGCCTTATGTAATCCAGTGGAGAGCCCTAGTGCTTTGCGCCCTCGATGCTGTCTATGCGTATGCTCCAGAAAGCAATGCAAGACTGCGGCTCCCAAAAGTGTTCCACAGAAAGGAACGATGGGTTTCCGCCTCCGTACAAAGCTGGTGAAGCAGATGACGGAGAAATGCATGCAGTCTGTAGCGATAATGGTAGTAAGAAGGCCCGGGGATTCGAGTCAGTAAAACTCAAGGAACAGCAAAAGTGGGCGAATTTGCAGGCAGAGTAGTTAAAAGTATAAAAGGTGCACAAGGGGGCATATGTTGCTTGGTCGAAAATGATGGTGCAGATGTAGCACATTCAGTTAGATGCCCGCACGCCTGCTTGGAGTTGACACACACTACCCCTCTCTTAGACTTAGCACGCAACTCAAAACCAAGCAGAATATTCAAGCAGTTGTCCAGTGCCTTGTTGCATATGTACTGGCGTCCCTTCCCAATATCCAGGCGTCATTGGAGCAGCCAAAAGCAGAAGCCACTGGAGCTGCGGGAGAGGAGGCGACCTATGGTGAGTTACATCTTACCTATGCATGGTGCAAGACAGCCCATACAAGCATACCTGCTTAAGCATACCTGCCAGTGCCGTGTGCACTACCACTGTGGAGAGTTTTTGAAGGCTTCTGCTAGGGTTTTTGTTGCCTAGTGAATCTTGTAAGGGTTCATGCGCCAACTTCAGATTGACCTGGCGGCAATGCATACTGTAAAAGGCCTCGACGTACAAAAAGCATCCGACCCGTTTTGCCCACAAGGACTGCCAGGAAAAGGTCGAAAACGGCATAAATTTAATTTAAGGAGGTGAAAAAGAAGTGGAAATGATTGGAACTTGTACGAAGAGGGCCGCAGCACACCCACGGAGCACTAGCACGTAGCCAAGGTGAATGACAGTGAAACTAGGTGGGTCGCAGACCAAATACACACAAAAATTATCGTAAGACTCAGTGCACTCTCACTGATGAAAACAAGTGCACAGAACCCTATAGTTATAAGATAACATGAGCTAGCCTTTAGTCCAGAGAGCGTTGTGACCCCAGGCTCATCCAGCCCCGAGCATCGAAGGCAGCCTCTGGATCCTTGCATGCAAAAGCATTTTTCTAGATTTTTAGCCAGTCTAGTGAGTTGGTTATTTATAGTATTCATCCAATCTTCCTGGATTTTCTGTATTTTTAATGCCCAGTGCTACACCAGAGGTGCTGCGGCAAGCGCACTTGGGGCTGTGGCGACAGTCAAATAATGGTTGGTACATCACCACTTAAATGCAGCTAACATCCAGATCAAGCATACAGTGCAATGGGTCTGAAATAGAAGGCCAAGGTCGGCAAAGTGCTCATGGTGGGATGTTTGGGTTTTGCGCCTGCCCCAGGCCTTGCTCTGAACTGCACACTGCCACTTCAGCATAGATGGGTCTGCTCACGTCCATCTGGCTGGATCCGGCACACAGCTGATAAGGCCTTTAGGGCTTGCTAGTACTTAGGCTTCCTGAACACGGCCGCTGGCACGGTGCGCCTTTTCCACGCGACCCAGGAAAATGTTGTGGACATCTGGGCTGCCTGCAGCCATGGGATTGTGGTCTGCGATCCTGATAATCCAAGTGGCGGGCATCCTGGCAATGGGACTGTTTGAGGAAGAGCTGAAGGCATATCCAGTCGTGGGTGTCCCGTCAGCCGACGCGCGTCGATCTTTTCCTCGGGCTTTTCAAGGTGAAGCGGGTAGGCACAAAACCAGAGCTGTTTCCTGTCTACGTCCGGTCTCTCAGCACCAAGCACGCAGGTTAACACTCGGATGGATTGAGCGTGTGTGTGTGTGTATATATGTATATGTGCGTGCGTGATATTTACAGCTTCGCGTGCCGCACTGCATAACGAAGAGCGTGTTCACTTCAAGTCGGATGGAACAGTCTCGTTCGACTGTCCCAGATCTGTATGCGGCGTAGACTTTTATTTTGGCAGGGCACCAAAGGAAGAGGAGAGCCAACAGTTTCACAAGAAACTGAACGACAACAATGGCACGTCACGAGCTTCCTTCATGCAGAGAGTGGACGAGACAGTTGCCAATATTTCTGCTCAGTTGCAATCTCGAAATTCAGCAGAAGAGCCTCTACTTAGAGATATTGTACATATTACGGACATGACGTGGCTAGGAACAGACGAGAAGATGCACCAATTGGCGTTCATGAAGAACTCCACGTGCGGTGGGCTCTACTTTGCACCTTCCCAGCTACCAGTCGCAACAGCGGACGTTGCGTGCTCGCTTTCCAACCTAGATGTGAACTCAGTCTATATAAAGAGATTTAATTCCCACAGGCTGCGTCTGGGTCCCGGAGTGAAACTGATGGTCAGTATGAGTAGCACTTTTGCGTTGAAGACACGTGATAGGAATTGGAGGCGGAAACTGGTGCGCTCGCCTAGCCTCCGTTTACTTGTATTTTTTGCCCAAACATTTGGACGACTAAATCCGAACATCCTAAATACGAACCCTGGACTGGTCATCAACGAAATCCTGTTGAAGAACAAGCACTTGTTTTATCCTCTCACAGAACTTTGCCTGTATGGTAAGTTTTTCGTGGTCGAAGTCGAACTAATTAGTTGTGCAATATGAGGGCAGCATTGCGGCTGTTATGTCTGTTTCCTGCCTGTGTGCTCTACAGTAAAGGTTTGTGAGACCGTACAGACATATCCAGAGCGGCTGCTGCAAGGCTTCCCTGGGCATGTCCATCCGGACCACCCGTCGTATGTTCAACTCCCGATCTACTCGTATTTCAGGAAGACCGGTGCGGAGGTTGCCTTTCCAAAGGATGCCCCCATCATATTCCAGCCTCGCATTTACGACGGTAACATACCTGTGGACCGCACGTCATCGTCTTCCAAATTCGACATTTTCGCCCTTGCCGCCGAGCTTATCTTTGGCTCCAAAGCAGAGACACAACGTGGACTAACCCAGTCAGCCTCTACCGATCCAGCTCGAGGTCTAGACTCGGGAGCGCCCCAGAAAAAGAGTCTAAGCAATGAAAATGATGATATTCAGAATGAGGAAGTAACGAAAGAGGAAGCACACTCACCTGACAGCGCAAGGGATCCGGCGACTGGAAAAGCCACCGGTGTAGCCGACGATGAATGGAAAAGACAAATGTACCGAGCTTGGCACAGTTTGTGGATTTTAAATTTAGTAGCCTACGAGGCTAGCGATATTTGGGAGTGGGTCAAGAATCACAAAGCCAGCACTTTCATGTTCCCACCGTGGAAAGTTACTGATGTGGGAGTACTCCGGACTGCGGAAGTGGGTGAGCAACGAAATGCAACAGTCCATCTTCAGTGCAGTAACAGCGACACACAATGCCGGTGCACTTTTGCATGGCACGTGCAGTGACGTCTCGTCCTCCCAGCCCAAAGAGAAGTTTGTTGCCGGGTTGTTGTGTTGCAGTTCCCATGAGGTGGCGCGACCTGTCTCCGCGATTTCATGTGGAGTCAAGTGTGGGATCTAGTTCAGAGCCTCTCAGTCAACAAGATTTAACGCGTGGACAAGGTATCCCCCACACTTCAGGAGAGCAGATGGGCACGGGTGGAACGGGTGAGCCTGTTCCTCCTCGGGGGAGCACTACAGAGGGCATCGGGCCTAGCTTTCCTCCAAGAGCGTACGAGGAAGACGCGATGGTAGACGATGGCTACCCTGAAGGGTTTTCCACGTCTAACTCTTTAGCGTCGAGCAAGGAGGCGAAGCGACATACTGACCTTTTGGGAGACAAGATACACACAATGCTTTCTACAGCCACAGAAGGTCAGGCCGACGCTTCAACGCCTCAAGAAACTTTTGGAGCAAACGCTTTCAAAAGTGGAGGGACCAGAGAAGAGCAGCGGGCAGACGTTTCGGCCGGACGTGTGAGCGGTACAGAAGGCAATACTTCTAGCACCAATGAGGTCCCTGAGGGTTGTATTCCATACTTAACGGATATGTCGTTTTTTAAAAAACTCGGCTGGCCAAGTGGTCGTTTGGTGACTGCCGGACCATCAGGAAGCATGGTTCTGGATGAGGCAGGAAGCACTAAAGATGAATGGGTTGATGGCTCCTGGAGACCAAAGATCATTGATTCCGACATTAAATGCCTTCCAGTTGTGCACCCTGACACGTGCGGTCTTACTGCATCTTTCAGTCGCGCCCATGAGTCGCCTTGGGTGTGGTTGCTTGAGAGGGATGAACAAGCGATCCCATCAAACCGAGCGGGCAACCTCGACTACGCTGACACTGTGTGGATATTTCGCGGCACTTTCGTAAGCAAGGTGAGGTGAGACAGTTTTTCCTGGTTGCAAGAAAGCTAGTTTTCTGTGAGCTGCACTGCTGTGAGACCAAACATCAGGCGGGCACTGCTACTGAACTATGGTCATTTAACCCTGCTTGTTTTGCATATGTACAGCAATGGCTTTTGAACGGTATGGGAGTCGCAGTTCCATACAGAACTTTGTCGAAGCGTGGCCACTTTCACTATGGACTTACATATTTATTCGACAAAGCGGTTCGTCCGTTGATGGAACGATATTTGGAGCGTCTTGAGCATCAAGTCGTAGGCAGGAAGACCCCGTTGGTAGTTGTTTTTACTGGACACTCCCTTGGTGCAGCCATCGCTGAAATGAGCTCATGGTACTTCGCGAAGCGAGCCAAGACACTCGTGGACAAGGGGATGCTGCAGATCCGCACTGTAGCCTTTGGGAGCCCTTCGGTAAGGCCATACCCACGCAAGGCAAGCTAGTGTGGTGAGATCTTTATCTGCTATGAACATTTACGTATTGGCAGATTGACACTTCTTAACTGGTAAGCAGGTGCAATGAAAGGCCACTAGGCCACTGAGAAGGGAGAGGCGCTCAAGCGTTGGGTCGATCCTGTGTGCCAACCACCGCAGTGGGGAGATCAATTGGCGTATGAAGATATGGTGGCGTCCGGCGTCAAGGCGCAGGAGATAAACATGGACATAGATCCTGTTGCTGTGTTGTTCGGTGAGGAAGATTTGACGAGGCTGTCACACAAGAAACCATTTCTTATGAAGGTAAGCGGCACTCTTGCAGTTCGCCAAAGGTAACTGGACAGCCCTTCCCCGCAGATACCAGGTGAAGAGTGGCACCTGGTCACAAGTAGCCATTTTATGTGCGTCAGCGGGAATAATGTGCTCTTCATCGGCGCACACCGAGGAAATGTATATGCCATGCGTCTTCAGTTGTACATTGAGGACATGGACAAGGTAGAGGTTGCATCCCCGGTTCCCGGTGCACCTCCATTCAGTGGGAGGATTTGGACAAGACCTATATACAGACCCACTCCGATCTTAAGGCGCTTGGCTGCAATGTTCCTCGATTTGGAAAATGTAGACATGGTGCTGCTGAACCCTACACTGGCCCATTTTGTCGCCTACACAGCTTCCCTCACAATCATGGCAGGCTTACTCGAGGAGGCTTCGTTCGGTTCCGGCGTGGCAGCCCCATTGGCTGATGCTGTTTACCACTTGGTCGGGCACCCGAGAAATGTAGCTTTGAAAAAAGCCCATGAACAGCTTAGTTCAGTTTTGCGGAGGGTGGATGCAGATCGTTCAGCGGAAGAGGGCTCGACGCGATAAGTCAACAAGCCCTGAATTCACTGTACTCGAGCTTTTAGGCTCCCAACCGGCGCGTTACGCGCATGCTGCAGCCGAGGAGGTAGGCAGACTACCAAATGAATGCACCGCGTAACTTGTGGCGGTCTCTAGGGGGCTACGTAGGTCTCTGTTGCCGTCGTTCCTCTGCGGCCTACGTGCTTCGGGTACAATAGCTGGCATACCTGTGGCTGGGCCAGCCTGTGTATACGTTGCCTGTGAATACGACGGGTGACTTCAAAATGAGCCTTGGCGCCCACAACGCAAACTGGTTTTCAAACTGACTACTTACCCTCCTAAATGGACCAGTCGGATCCCTGATTCGCCTAAAGTTGAGCAGATGCCAAAAGCATGATGCGTCGAGGCGTTTACAAGTTACAACGCCGTCTACAGTCAGCCCTGGGACAGACCGTCACCTGCCCATCTCTATGGAGACGGTCTGCGGCACTGCACAGTCCCGAATGCGCGCCCCGTACTAGGCCAGTAAATCCTCATCATTTGCCCAGTCGAGTATTTTCCGGCGCAATGAATCTGTGCAGAATGTCTTGCTTTTGGGCCCCTATGCCTGCAATGCATGCCCCCCTAAGCAAAAGCATTTATTACAGCGGAGGTGCACACAAGACGACGAAGCTCAACCTACGCCGTGCAACTGTGTGAAGTGTTACAGCGTGAACACGATGAGTACTACGCCTCGAGGAGATTCCCCACTGTTCCTTTAAGGGAGGCTTTACAGAAGCCAAGTATTCCCAACTCGTACTCAAGAACTGCCAAAGCAATTACGCGAGGCGCTGGCCTTCCACAGCCCACTGTTGTTGTTCCTAGCCAGTTGCCACTGTCCTTGGACCTATGCGGTATTCAGGAGGAGGCGAGTCAGCCATCCATGCCACCACTCCCCCCCATATCGTCTTCGTTTTCAACAAACTCCCAGCCCTGTCCAAAAATACACTGTATATATATATATATATATATATATATATATATATATATA